AAGAAAAAAAATAGAAAATTCTTGAAATTTCGTTTGAAAATGTCGCGATTAATCGAAAATCGATCTTTTAATCCTCGATTTAATCGATAATCGATTCAAGTACCTTCGATTCAAATCGATTCGGAGATCGATTATTTTAAGAGCGAATCGACATGCCTACTTTCTGTATATATTACTCTACACTCTATGAAACAACCAAAAGCAAAATCATAAGCAGTTTTTTTTATTTAACTGGCTTTACGGCTCTAGGTTCTAGCCCTTCTCAGCCTATCATTTCTTTCGGAACCTTCATTTTTATATTCTTTTTCTTCACAATATGCTGATGCGTCACATTGCGAAGCCCTTGGGAGATTTTGACGACAGTTCAACCCAGCGGACAGTTGATGACGACAGCCACTCGTCGCATCGCATCGCATCAATTTTCAAACCATTATATAAGCGACAAGACAGGAGCGACAGTCCGTCTATGGCCAAGTTCCCGTCAAAACTCTCTTATGTCTGTGTATTTCTGTCGTAGCCATGGAGGTTAGAAAACAGGAGAACGGTCGCTGTATAAAATATTGTCCCAGAAATATAAATGAGTTTCCGAAATTTTAATAACTTAAATAATAAATATTTGTTAATGTACCTATGTAAAATATAAAAATTGAATGTAACAATCTATATTTAGAGGTATAAACTATTAAGCAAGATAAATTAATTTTATTCACGATATCATTTGAATGCATTGTTAAAACTAGATATATACGACGTAATAAAAAAATCATTATATATGGAATTTTTTAAAAGTTATGCATCATGATAGGCGAACTAAAAGTATCTTACAACAAAAACTTAGAGAATCAATACAATTACGTAATGAATTTGATGATTATTTAATAAATTTAAATAAAGAGATAGAAAGTTGATTTTTTTAAATAACAGTGTTTACGATATTTTATTTTTATTTTATTGTGTTATAAGTATGATATAATATAAGAATTTTAATATTTTAATATAATGTACAATTTTTTTGATTTTTTACACCAAGTTTTGTTTCATTAAAAAAAGTATTTTGATAATTTTTTTCTTTTTGCCGATGGGCGTGTAGTGTATGTGTAGTGTATACCCACGTAGGTATATACACGATAGTCTAATAGACATTCGTCAGTATTAAATCTACAGTCAAGACCACTAGACGTTTTATCATAGAGTAGAGTAATATATACAGAAAAACTGCGTTTTATCATTTATTCCCCGAATCTCCCAACATTACAATAGTGCCTTGTTTCAGTGGTCTCAAACCATCTTGGTATTATTTGCCTTTCTAATGAAACTGGTGTGGGGCACATTGGTCGGATAGTTTCAAAGTCTATAATGGACATACGTAGAAACATTTTTTGTGTTTTATATAGATAGATAAAAAAGTGCCAAGGCTATACACATTGATATTTCGATAAAACTGGAGCCATTCTTTACGTGTGTGTCCAGCGAGACATATACTCTCATACTGAACAGCAGGCATGTGTGTAAAGACAGTTCTTATATCGCCCCAATCACTGTACACTAATGATGGTTAATATAGCGCATAGCGCCATACCATAGCGCGCTATCTCTCCATAACACATATCGCGTGCTATGTAAGCAGTGCTTTGGCGCTATTAAGTATTAATATCTAGCGGAAACTAGTTCTAGCAGCAGCGCTGTTGGGAGAGGACGTGCGACGCAAATTTGATCTAGTAGCACGCTATTCATCGCGCGCGACCTAATTTAGTGTTAGACGTTGTTTAGTTAGTGTATACTGTATATTTATAAGTGATTGAAGGACACAGTTGTCTGCTATAAAAGAAGCCTAACTAATGTTTTTAAATGTAAATAAAATATGGATACAAAAGTGTATATAATAGAGTATGTAAATAGTTGATTTTTATAAATACAATCAGTAAACTTTTACATACACCTTTATTTGATTTATAATTAATATAAAGGTTAAAATAACGTTTAAATCAATTATAATAAAAAATAATTAATTTTATTTCGTTTTGAAAAGCACATGCCTTAAAAATATTTTTAGGGTTATGGAAAGTCGTGAGACAAAAAAGTATAAAAAAGCGTTCATTGGTTTTTCTTTACCGCTTTATTTTATTTTAGTCTAAAATGCTTAAAACTTATTACGAAATAATGTTCTTATATAGCACGCGGTCTATCCAATGTAATGTAACGTGCTACGAGATATAGTGTGCTGCTCTGCCTCGTTAGTCTAGTGGTTGTAGTAGTGCAACTGCTGATCATGAGGTCCTGGTTCAAATCCCGGGTCGGGCCAAAAAAATCAATTATTGAGTTTTTCTGTCAAGAAATTCTCAACAGGTGCCCGGAGTCAGGAAGTTGGCGATGTCTCAACCCCGTGCCGCGGAAAGCACGTAAAGCCGTTGGTCCTGCGCGCAATCTCTCTCCGGTCGTGTCGGTTTACCGTCCCATCGGATTATGAGAGTGAGGGAATAGAGAATGCACCTGTGCTTGCGCATACACTTGGGCACTATAATGCTGTCCTGCGCCGATGGCTAGCCTCCATTGAGACAGGCCGCCGTGACCGAAATTCGGTCTGGAGGACATTATTAGCGTGCTGCAAAACTTAGCGTGTTTGCCGCCTCCTACACGCTTTCTTATAAATAGCGCTTTATAACATAGCCTATTTTATAGCGCGCTATAAAATAGTTTATAGTCTGTAGAGTGCTATTGATTTATAGTCATTTTGAACAACTTTACTGTACACCCTAGATTGCCCCTGCGGCAGGAAAGTGAGTAGCAGGTCCATAAAGTTGGCACCCGGTTATTAAAAATGCGACTAGTATAAATCGATTGCGCGTAAAAAATTATGATTATCGGTACTAATTATTTGTTTGCGCGTCAAATATTTGTGTAGATATTAAAAAAAATAAAGTGGGTGCTGTGAAATTCATTTTTATTTTTTGCATAAAAGTGATGGTAAAAGAATAATTAAACAATGTAAAGTAGATTTTCACATGCGCTATCAGCACCCGATATCAGTTTATCCATAAGTTATTTATTTACATCGTAAATAATTAATTAAATAATCCCATAACCTCAGCCGCAGCGTCCTAGCTCAAGAGTGCAATATCCCTAGTACGCTAGCGCTTAAAGCGCTTTTTTCTTCTCTCGTAGCATAAATATACGACAATAATTCATACATACATACATGTATACAAAATGTTAGTGTGAACACTAACATTCCGAATGAATTAAAAAAACGCTATTTTATATTATAAAGTTTAAAAAGTTTCTTTCCGACACCGTCCGTAAATTCATGGATCCCGCCCGACTGACGTAATCACTGTAAAGATCACCGCCCGCGCTAGCTACCTACACAACATTCCAATAAAAACACAATAGCTACACATAACCTGTGATGTAACTTTTCCTTCATACTTTCATCCTGGCTTAAGACAGGCAAAAATTGAGGAATTAAGAAAAAATGGAGTATTAATAAAAAAAATGTTGTTATTTTTCATTGAATTTACGTTCTATAATTGAAACCAAACCACTGGTTTCAAGGATAACGGTGTTTACACTAACATCCTCTATAATATATATATATATATATATATAGATGCTTATAAACTTCGTAAAAAAATATCCGTATGAATGATATATATAATGAAATGTTTGAATAATATGTAATGAAATAAATATAGAAGTAAAAAAAGAAAAGAATAAAGGAAAAATAATGTCAATTTGTAATTGCCCTCAGGTAATGTTGTCGTAGAAGAACTTTGAAGACTTTTTTATTTGTGGCATTCTTAATATCATTGGGGAGGGTGTTCCAAAGTTTTATAGCTTGTATCGTAAAAGACGACCTGCAAAAATTAGACCTATGCTGTGAAAACCTTAACCTCAGATGGTTTGACTGTCGGGATGTGTCGATCGAATGAAGAAAATGAAAAATATCCTTAAGATAATAAGGCGACCCTGGATCGTTTAAAATTGAATAAAGTACAAGTAAATTTCTAGAGCATAGCCTTGACTATAGGTAGCCATTTAAGCTTTGAACGGTAGGATGATATGTGTTCATACTTACGTAAACCAAAAATAAACCTTGGGATTATTAAGAAGGCGCTCCAACTTGTTTAGAAGATTTTCTGACAGATCTGGGTAAGATACATCTGCATATTCGATAATAAGTAGAATGAGGGAATGAACCAGCGTAAGCTTGAGAGGTAGGAAATTTTTAAGTCGATAAAGTGAACGTAAGGTATAAACAACTTTACGACTTACTTCAGAGATTTACAATTTCCACACACACAATTGTCACAGTTTTATCCATGTACAAGCTAAGATTTTTTTATGGAATTACAATATGGAATCAAAGTTCCATTATAAGTTGCAGGAGAGAGATTTCCATAATCAACCCTAGTCAATAATTGCGAACTTCCGAAGATTATAACTTTGCAATTTGCTGGATTAACAGAAACGCCATATTTACAAGACCATTCTCTTATGGCTTCTAGGTTATCGTATTATATATACGCATACATATGCATATATAAAATACGCATATGTATGCGTATTATATAATATAGCTTTTCTGTAAGGGCTACCGTGGCTCATCTAACGTGGGTACTATATAATGACTATCATTCTGAAGCCAACGAATCCACAAAATAGGCCTGAAAGGCAGGTGTGACAGTCTGTGGATGTAGCTATGAAAATCATGGCTATTTCTTAGTTTTACGAGTAATAATACTCAAAACTTTACATTGTATTCGGTTCACCCGTTTTCTTACTGTTATAGCAACGGAGCATAATGGATTGATGTCATTAAAATTGATATAGACCATAGACAATACCACAATACACTTGTGTCGTTCCTTTTTCTACATTAAACATGGCAACAACAACGAGTTTTTGTATGTTGGTAGTATTGTGAAAATGAAAGCCGTGGTTGGTCAGACGGCTGATTATTTCTTTTCCCATCCGTAGCCGATTGCTGTCGTGCTATCAAAATGGGTAAGGAAACGTTTTGTGCTGATAGTTTTTAATTTACTTTCCTTTTAATTTTATTATGTGTAATTAAGTGTGTAGTTATTTTCCGGATTGTGAAAGTGAATTATATTTTAAGCTGATAGAGTATTTACTTAAAGTATCTTGTGCGCATAGGTGTCGGCCATGGCGCAGACATGTTTTTCTCGTGGTGTTTTTATAAATCTATTTCCATCTTATAGACTTTTTATAGCTTACGAGGTAGTATAAAACATCCCCCATTTTCAACATGAAATGCATCTTTATGTTTATCGATTTTTGTGTTTGCTGTATATATAAGTGATAACCGGCGACTTACAATTTCAGGTAAACCCCGTGGTATACGGACGGCGCGGAAGCACGTGGACCACCGCCGCAAACAACGATGGGCAGATAAAGATTACAAAAAGGCTCACATGGGCACGAGATGGAAGGCCAATCCCTTCGGTGGTGCATCTCACGCTAAGGGCATCGTCCTAGAAAAAGTGTAAGTATAATTAGTTAAAGTTTGTGTCCGAAAGTGTAAATTGTAACGATTATATTAGTAATCCTTTAGCGTCCGGGTACTACATAAACATTGGTGTTGAAGATAGAAAAAGTGTTAGAAAGTTTGCTGAAGATTCCTAACACTGGCGTCGTTTGAAAAGGACGCGTCCATACGCGGTATTATGCCTGTGAATGTGTTCCTTCTACAATCACAGGATAATACTGCGAGTGGCTGCGTAGCGTTACGCTAAAAATTTACTAGCACCTTACGTCGGGTCATTGAACTTACGTGTGGAGTCTCAATGCAACTTTATTTACATAGGAAACCGTTATTTAACAATATTGATTTCTACGGAAACCGTGTCTGGATTTAACTGTTTGCTAGTGAAATAACTTATTGAAAAACTACATTTTTATATTGTATATTATTCGTTTGGATTTTTTAAGTAAGCAAATCAAAAATCCTAAAAAAACTCATGTACATTTCTTATTTTCATTCTGAATACATATGTTAACTGTGGCAATAATTCCATAATTTTTCACTTATATGCTATTTACTCCAACATGGAGTTGGTTAAGTTTAAATTGATTTATTTTGTAAAAGTGTGTCTTGGTTTGAATCATTGAATTCAACTAAATCTCCCATAGAATCTATAATAACCAAGAGTATGAGCGGGGTAAAATTGACACATTTTTGGTATTGAAGTCCCTGAGTGCATGCGATGTAAATTTACTAATGGTAAAATTTGTTTAAGTAAGCACTACCAAAACATTAGTAAAGTTCCCCCAAGAAATATAAAATTATTATACAAAACGAAGGATGTCATCAGGGTTGACAAAAATAATAAAACATTAATTTTCTAATAATAATTTTGATTTATTCATTATAAGCAGAGATGCCGTGAATAGTTGATGTGGCGAATAGTCGAATACTCTCTATTATTATTCGACATAAAAAAGGAATATAACAAATAATTTATTACATATCAAATAGTAATATTACACTTGTAGTAGTCTCTTGAACTTACCTGTCATTTATGTTACTGTAATCTAAAAAATTGAGTACCAATAAAAATTGATTCCCAATTTTAACCCTCTGTGCACCAGGTGACTAAAAGTCTTGTCCTATACTAGGTGGGGTGTGACAAACCCCAAATTAAAAAATGGTAAAATTGACATATTTTTTTATGTTTTTCGTGAATTTTATTATTAGGTATTTATAAACACACTGTAATGATTAGGTTTAAGTTAAAGACCGGTTAAAAAGTATGTAGTAAAATATTTATTTTTATAAAAGAACAAAAAAACACAACTTCTGTGATTCACTTATCATAACAGTTACTTTCTTATATACTAATTTTAAATGGCACGTTTAATTATTAGAATAATGTTTAATTAACAAACTACAGCATATTTCCTTACAATTTAACATAAATTGAACACAATGGAGGTACATTTTAATTGAGATCATTGTCGTACAAGAGACCACAGTCTTGACAAAAAAAATCAGTGTGCTCCATACATATTGGGACATAACATTTTTTACATGTATATTTTGTTTTACGATTTTTGTTCCTGGGGCAACTTGAACATCTTCTTTGGGTATTAGCAAATTTTCAGCTAGGTCAGGAAAATACTTAGCAATTCTCTTACGAAGGTCTCTTGTCAGCTTTTGGTTTTGCCTTCAAGGTGGCCTTTTATCAAAGATATACTCAATTCCTGGATGAATTTACTTCTTAGATTGTTTTTATTTCTTTCAATGCCATTGTTGAATATATGGATAATCATTCCATTTATACCTCCGTGGTTTAGCAGCGCGAAAAATATAGTTAGCGGCCATCATTTAGAATTTCTGGAAACATCGTAAGTTCGACATAATTTATGCACCACATCTACGCCACTTTTGGTCTTATTATCCCCTTGTGTGGCGACCGGCCAGATTCTGGCCGATGGTTAATTACGCGCGTCTGGCAAGCGACCAGATTCTGGCCGATCCGCGACTGCGTATTTGGCAGGTAAAATAACCAGCGACAATGATTTTTATCACACTTTTACTTATAGAAAATTATAAACCAAAGAAAGAGGATGCGATACAAAGCTACTAAAGTACTACAATGTGTAGAAATTTCGAATAAACAGCCTATGTAGCAGTCGCATGCGAACGTCACTTTCATGTGGTCACCCGTCCCGGTTTTTGTCCTTATTTTTATTCCTAAATCGAACAAATAGTGAAGTTAAGTGCTATTCAAACATAGAAGGGTTAATAACCAACAGTTTTTAATTCATAATTTAGGGATATGTATCCTTTTTTATAAAAAAAATTCGAACATAAACGGTCGTTATACTTACTTACCTTACATTTATCTCTATTGTTGATTAAAAATACATTACATTCTTTTTAGAAATGAAACTTTGTCTAAATTAAGGACTTGAGCCATACTTAATGTTAAAATTATCGTACGCCACTTGACTTGCTCATTTCTCAAAATAAAACTAACAATATATGCTATTTTTTGTGCGACGCTTGGGTTGCCGTTCATGTGTTAAGATTGTAAAAAACTTTTGAGGTAAAAATATATAGGAATGTGTGGTTTTTTTGCTTTTTTTATTATAAATTAGTGTATATTGATGAAAATAAATTACATTTATTTTATAAAAGAATGATTTTTATGTTTAATTTTCACAAATTATGCACAAAATACTATTAAAAATTTGGTTTTCCAACTTTGAAATTGGCTTAATAAAATCTATTAAGTTGTATTCAACTAAGATATCTACAGAGTAATAGCAAATAATATAACAATTCATATGACATAAGTTTTATAAATAGCTTCCATACAATATTTTAGAGAAATTACTAATTTAATCGCCACGCGCCGATATCGCAAAATTACCTGCTAAGGCCCTAGCAGACGCGACGTATTTGCAAAATGGCCGGCCGGCAGACGAGGGGTTAAAAAACGTTATCATTGCAGGTTTTTGTTGACTTCCGGTTTCCGAATCTATTTCTCGGTCATGGTGCAGTGAAGACATCAGATATACCATCTTACGTGGCTTTGGTACATAGGATAAAATCGTTATATTCTTTTGAAATCCAAATAGAGATGTATTTACTTCACGATGTTTCTTGAAAACTGGAGGAATACACGCCTTATTGGCGCGCAAAGTTCCGACAACAGTGAGCTTATGGTTTTGGAGCAAATTTTCTGTGCTTTCATAGCTAGTGAAGAAATTATCCATTGTAATGTTCCGAGAAGACTGAGATACACATTGGACTAGACGATCCACCACATCGTAAGGCTTTTTGCTGACAGAAAAAGCGCTACTTTCAGGCTGCTTTCCTTAGTATATTTCCATATTCAAAGTATAATATGTTTTATTGTCAACTAAAGAATATATTTTTATTCCGTACTTTGCTGGTTTTGACGGAATATACTGGTGGAATCCACATCAACCTCTGAAAGCAACCAATTCTTATCTAATGTTAGGTTTTCGAACGGAATGTAAGCATCTTGACTGTTTTTTATAGTTTTCAAAAAGATTTCTTATTGGAGCTAGTTTAGTCAGTCTTCAATCTCTCGTTTCGTGTTGCTGTGCTATCAAACCTCAAATTATTCATTAAGAAAGCAAATCTATTTCTTTCTTACTACACTACGACACTAAGAGTGTCTCTAAAAATATCCATTCCTGTCCCATCTTGTGTGTCTGTACTGTGACGTCCAGAACGAGCCAAACCTGATAGGAAAAGTAAACCAAAGGGCTTTTATTTCCTCCTTTGTAGCTTGTGACTGTTGAGGATCACCAGTTGGTCGGGAGAGTATTTTCTCATTAGTGCAATTCACAATTTCATCTGTCATAGCATCGGAAATAAATAGTTCAAAACACTCAAGAGGTGACAACTTACCCCTTGCAGCTGTTTTCACACCAGGCAAATGAGTAATAATATTTTCTGCTCTGCTACGAACATTGCTTCTGAATGGTTCTTTTTGCCACTTTGTTGTCTTATTTTTGCCAGTATAATAACTTTGTCTCGACGCGCGAACCTCTGATACTTCGTCGTCGCTCTCAAACTATGAACACTCAAGTGTTCTGATTCCACTTCAGAGCCCGGTTCTGAACTCCCGGATTCTACTTCGAAGTCATCTCCTTCGTCCAAAAGTGCTTTTAAAATATCATCATCTTTCACGTGGGTCAAAAATTCATATAAAATCCTGAACATACATAAATTAAACACATAAAGGTAAAAAAACATCAAATAGAATGCTTACTTTTTTGTCAACGAGCTGTACAAGGTTGGGTGTGTGACACCCACATGCACTTTAAGGGCGTGTAGCTCGCTTGGCGGTGGTCGCCGGACTGACTCATCGACGCGAGTCGGATCGGCAACGTCGCAATTCCAGCTACTGAGAATTCGAGCGGTGGCGGGTTCACAGTTTTAAATTATTGCGATATTTCAAGGGCTGGGGTTTATTAAACCCCACCTGGTGCACGGAGGGTTAAATAAGCTTGCTAAACTATACTAAATCACATCAGCAAGCTCCGTTTATTCAGAAAGACTATTTTCTGAGGCAGGTTTGGTTTACGAAAAAAGCGCAACTGACTCATTCCCAGTCGTGCATAAAAATTCGTTTTTCTGCACCACAATCTCTCTTAGACTTTGAATATTAATTTTAACATGACAAATTTTTGCTAACTTTTATATTTTTAATGATGGTTATATATTAATACTAAGTATTTTGTCTAAGTATTCTATTGTGAAAAGTCAGAATGTGTCAAAAAAGGCAATGGCTATTCACAGTGCTGTATTAGACCCTACTTTAACGTTTGGTAGTGAAAGTTGGGTGTGGCAGAAGAAGCACGAGAGTAGAATAAATGCAGTATGTGATCGCTAAGGAGTATGTCAGGGCTGAATCTGAATGACAGGGTGAGAAACTGTGTGATAAAAGAAGAGTGTGGTTTGTAAGACGATGCGGTGACCAGGATTAAGAAAGGAATGCTTCGGTGGTTTGGTCATGTAGAAAGAATGAGTGAGGAAAGACTGACAAAGCAAATATATGTTGCAGAAGTGAATGGAAGAGTCGGAAAGGGAGGTGCTAGGCGGAAGTTTGTCGACCAAATTGGCGATATACTAAAAATGGGCCAAATTAAAAGTACCCTTAACCATGTATGCATCTATGCATGTATGCATAGGTGTATGGATGTGGAAGAGGCAAGAGAGGTATGTCAGGATTGTGCTAAATTAAATTAAATTAAAATTATGTTTGATTTAACCGCTTGAATGCATGACTGAGGTATGAGGGGATGCGCAAATGGATAGCGCGCCCGTGTATTCTCGTTCTCTTTCTGTCTTTACATACGCGTTCATTCCCGCGCAAAAGCTGATTCACGCGTTAAACAGCGTATGTGTGTAAAGGCTGGTATTGGTAAAGTTGCCTTCGTGCTCAGTGAGGTAACTTTACCTAACCTCAAACAACAATTACCCTTTACAATAGCTCAAGATATAGAAGATTTATAGAATTGTATCATTGCGATACACCTTACTAACAATATATCATATACTATTTAATATAAGCTATATACCTGCTTTGCTGCTTTAATTTTTTGTTTCTTACAAATCACCATCTTTATGCGATCACTATGTAAACATATTTGACCACACATAGCATGAAAAAGCACACAATTAATAGCATACAATTAACAAAGTTGCTACCTTGAAAAATATAGGATACCACAATTTATTTTAAAATCTACCAATATGTCTAAAATTGTGTTGATTGCCACTGATAAAAATAATGGTAAGCAGTATAAGGGTATGTTGGGTAAAGATGCCCATTGAAAGTAAAGATGCCACAGATGACAGTACCTTTGTAAGACATTGTGTGATAAAATTAAGTTTTGTAAATATTAATTAACTATATTAAGTATGCAGAATAGCTTTGTTCATGGTGTCTTTTTTTTTTAAAATTATATATGTACAAGATTAATTAACAGGAGAAAGAGTCATGTTATAAAGCTTGTGTATAAATTGTTGTAATTTATATTTGACTGTAATCCTAGTAGAAATTTCTGATAAATTCTATTGAATTTGTATTTAATGTCTTTTTGAAGTTTTGCTTTTGTAATAGTAAAAGAACATGAGTGAAAGAACTATACTCAGTGTTAGAAAATAAATGATCTCTGGGATGGGTGAAACCTGTGTACATAAACTTGTTAAAACATATAACCATATATAATAGATATAGAAAGTATTGCTAACTTATATTGTAATCCTAGTACCAACTGCAGTTTTTTATTATTTTGTGTTGTTATTAAAAAAGATTCTTCATTTCCCTTAGTTGCCTCTTACCCATGGATTGATATGTAGGTAGTGATTCTCATAACTGCTACTATCCATATCAATACTTCTGAATTCTAATTAATGAATATAAAATCATTACCAATGTTTCATATGAGTAACATAAAATCAGAAATTTAGGACCTATAGGTCTGCCTTTTTTTGCAGTAAGTCCTAAGAAATGAGCCATCTTTCCCCTTACTCATAATAATGTCCTCCAGACCTAATATCGGCCACATTGGCCATCTTCAACAGAAAGTAGTCATCGGCGCAGGGCAGGATTGTAATGCGCAAGCAAGCACAGGTGCCCTCTCTATTTCCTCACTCTCACTATCCGATGAGACAGTAAATTGACAAGACCAGACCAGGGTAACGTGCTTTTCAAGGCACGGACCTGAAATACCGCCAACTTCATGTAAATAAATAAAATAGTATGATGAATTCTCTTATCTAATTTTTATTATATTTTAATAAAACAGGTGACAGACATACTCACAGTCCACTTCTGGCTACTGCTGTTCATGGACTAATCCATCCAATTTCATTTAAAGAATGCTACAAACGCCTTAGTCACCCCTGAGGACTAAGATAGAATATCTTACAGCCTGTAATAATTTATTCTAGCTCTCTAAACTAGCAGACTGCTATTTAGCGGTAGAAATATATGCAGAGGAAAGAAAAGTGGTGCCCACCCGGATGTACTCTTGGCAGAAAGGCCTCAACTAATTTGTACATAATAATTTTAAAGCTCTTATGTGTTCACTGGAATGATTTACTATGTGTTTTATGGTTTAGAACTATAATAATTTCTTTAAAATTACATCCTGCAGTGGTGTTGAAGCCAAGCAACCTAACTCTGCTATCCGCAAGTGTGTCAGAGTGCAACTGATCAAAAACGGCAAGAAAGTGACAGCATTCGTGCCCCGTGACGGTTGTTTGAACCATATTGAAGAGAATGATGAAGTGCTAGTAGCAGGTTTCGGTCGTAAGGGTCATGCTGTTGGTGACATTCCCGGTGTCAGGTTTAAGGTGTGTTAACTTAAACATCAAAGGCAATGAAATTATGATTTGCATTATAATTGGCGCTAGTAAATTACTTTCTTGAAATTAATATTTGTATATTTAATATTGAATAGCATAATTTTACACTGTGTGCAATTCTATTGCCCAAATACACTACTCAATGTTAAAGATGTTGTTAAGTCTGATGATGTCGTTTATTACTTTGTCATAAGATAACATGAAACTTAATTTCATCTTAAAATCTAGTAGCTTTTGAGTATTTGGCCATATATAATGTAATTGTTATTATTAAATGTTCAAGCTACATTTATAAAAAGAATTTTTAAAATACTTTTTCTAATGAAAGCAACACAGTTAAGAAAAAATCTTGGTAGTATGTATGTACTCTAGTGATGATCAGCCTATAGAAATCAGGAGTATTTGCTACTCTGAGTGCCATGATGTGGTCAGCTTTACTGACTAAATGCATTATATTTGATTCATGCCTTGACTGTCATTAGCTGAACTTACTATAGATTCTATTTTCGGTTTTCAGGTGGTAAAGGTAGCCAATGTCTCACTCCTCGCCCTGTACAAAGAGAAAAAAGAGAGACCAAGATCGTAGACCATGCTACATTGTGTGATAAGGTACATTTTGTAATAATATAATTACATATGTGAATAATTAATGCCTATAACAAATAGTTCAAATCTTCATAAATCTGTATGAAGATTTGAACTATTTATTATAGTATGTTTACAAAATATATATACTATGTAAATAATCCTCTTATTTAAGGACTAAGATCTTTGCATATTAATTTATTTTCATGATGTCAAAACAGTATTTTAAACCGCCTCATAAATTATTTTATGGGAAATGTATTGAAATGTTATGATAATATTGGAATGTCTAAGTAGCTAGTACGTAAAGTGGTTTCATTGTAAGAATATTCACTATCCCATACATCCTGCGTGAGTCTTAAGAGGTGACAGAGTGAAATGAAACCGGAAATAACAATTCAAAATATTAATTGCGCTTTGCTAACCCGCCGGTCAAGTGTGGCAACTATGGCTTGTACATCCGCTTTGCTTTGGGTGGGATGTAGTGGTGAATAAAAGCCTAATGTCGGCCATTGAGTAATACTAAAACTCATGATGCACAACAGCCAGAGGAGTGTCCGAAATAATTCTAAATATTCAAGAATGACCTTGATTTAAAAGAATAGAATGGAAGAAATTGAATGTGCCTCATACCTAAAAGAATCACTTACCATGTGAAAAATGGCATGGTAGGCTCTTGGTTGAGTCAACTATTTAGTCAAATTGCAGTGCAGCTCTACCTTCATAATGTTACTTCTGTTACTAGTTTTCAATTCCTTAATCAACTGTATTTTATGGTAATTCTTTGGAGTTCTATGCCTAAATTTATTTCTAATATGTGATAATGATGGTTACAGTGTCCTTGCAAATAATATGACAGGTTTAATCATTGTACATGATGCTAAAACAATTATTTGCTACTGCTGAATGCCATGACGTAAAATGTTGACTGATGTCGATCATTGCATTAGACCAGAGATTGTTATCATGCAGACATCTAATAGTGTTTGTTTGTTTCAGGGCTGCTGTGAAGCGGTGTTGTTCATAAGAGTAATTTACAAAAATGTAAAATCAAGTACATAATAAACTATGTACGCCACAACTGTTTTTTATTTTTTACCTAGAAAATTATAAATAAAATCTTGTACTACTTTTATATGCCCAAGATCGACACTAAAATGAGGAAATATAACCTAGGCTTTTCTGCAATACAAAAATAACAATAAATTATATTAACACTCCATTACGCGCGCCCCTGTTTGGGACGCGAGTGCTCGCGCGCTCTACATATGTAGAACTATTTTGTGTAAATATTTTACAGGAACAATAAACAAATATAAAAAACTTTAATATCATATTAAAACAAACTTTAATAGGAAACTAAAATAGACGAAACATAACCGTTACCATTTATTAGGCACTTAATATCAGACTTCTTGTGAATTTTGAGAAAAATCAATGATTTTTTTGGCATCAAACCTTCTCAGTCTCCTTTTTTTACTCGCTCATATCTTCCACACAGTCTTTATCATTTTTACAACAGTCAAGGCATTGCAAGAACTTGATGTTGAGGACGAATCCACTTTTTACAGGTGTCACATTATTTTCTAGTGGACTTATTGCCCGCTCTGCCACAAAAGGAACATTTCCCGACTCGACCAGTATTGGGGAGTTGTGCTGGGCATGGTTGTAATTCCGATGGCTCTTTCATGCCTAAAAGCATTTTCCCTTTCCTTTTCAATAATTTTGGAATTCTTTCAATATTTATTCTGCGTTGTATGCATGGCGCGACTAGGTGAAAACCAAGTTCTTATAAAAAATCCTTCCTGGCCTTATTTCTGTAGTCCTTGTTCATTGTATGTACAATATAACCGTTTATAGCACTTATATTCATTAAATTGAAAAAAACAATAGTAAGTGAGACGTCATAAATACTACAAATAATGTCCACGCCATATTTGGTATTGTTGTAAAAAGTTATTATTTCCGGCTTACGTTTCTCTGCTGTTTGTAAATCGATATGATCATCATATTGCATAGGTGAGTAAATAAGCACCACTTTCTTTGATTTTGGCATGTAAGATACTAAAGTACCTTGTTTTTGAAAGCCAAAAATTGAACTCGTTTCGCTTCTGTTTCTTGTGATTTTGAATTCTTTGGGAATTTGTGGCTTATTTTTCTTCACAGTGCCTACGACAGTAATTTTGCTACCTAAGAGTTCTAAGCATTGAGGTATATTCGTGAATCAATTGTGCATTGTGACGTTATAACCTAAACCATCCAATGGGGTAAGCATTCGTTGCACAATGTTCACAACTTTATTTGATTGTGCATAAGGACCATCTGGCTGAGCACCTGCGTATATTTCCATATGGTAGGCAAAAGGTACCTTTGTATCCGTTAGTAAAAATATATGTATCCCATACTTTGCTGGTTACTTCATCAGTAATAACTTCTTCCAACCATCTCAAAATATGTGCCATCATTGTGCGAAATATAGTTACTTCGGTTAAAAATAATATTATCAAACAAAAAAATCCATAATAACAATATTTATACATCATATAAACTCTTACATAAAATATAAACGATAGGTAAACTTCCGACAAAAATGACACGCGAGTGCTCGCGCGCTCTACTATTGTAGAATTTTAGTTTTGGTGCGAAATTTCTAACAAGTGCGATCGCGCAGTTTGCCGAAAGGGTACTAATTGTGATCACCAGCTAGTAATAGAGGAATAATAAGAGTATGTGCGTTAGACACTCACCATTAATGTTAAAATCCCACGAAATGCATGCCTGTTCTACAATAGTAGAACGCGCGACTAATGGAGTGTTAAGCAAAAGTTACATAACATAAATAATATCGGATTTCAAAATCGATACTCATTAGGTATCAGATCAAATGGCATGGAATGATGATAATATCCTGGTAGATTTTGGACGATAGCAACAATTTTTGGAACTGACCGATTAATAAGAAACAACATAATATGTAGGTGATAGCGTCAATAGCACACAAGTGTAGTACACAAAATGTTACTACTGGAATTGACCTAACGAGACAGAATTATAGTGGGCTGCTATTAGTGTGTTCGCAAGCAGAGGTGCACTTAACACATTCAGTGCCACCGACTCGCCCGGAGAGTTCACGTAAATCTTATTCCAGTGCCGACGACTCGTCTGGCGAGTTCAGTGTTTTTCACTAATATTTCCAAAATGCATTAGTATTTTCTGCTTAAAATTATAGTTTAGACTAAATATATGCTAAATGTGTTCTTTAATCACAAAAATCCCATAAATAACAAAAACCCATCTAAAAATGGTAAACGCACCATACATGGTGGTGGCACTGGTAAGAGAAATTTAATCACTAGTGCCATTCAACATGCCGTTTGCGTTGACGTTTGGATAGTATTATGTAACATGTTCTGAGAGACTGATGCTGGATATGTCAATATGCTGCTTTATTTATATAATCTATGTTTGTTTATAAATAGGTGTAAGTCCTTGTTTTACACACATAATATTACTTTGTTCTGTCCTAAGTTTTTGTATCTTACGTATTTATAACTACTTAGTAACTTGAAGCATGCGGTGTACACCTATTGTTGGTGTACTTAAATAAATAAATAATTTAGTATTAGAATTATTTAACATCTTTGCTCCTTATCTGATTAATGTATACCTATCCACTTTGTATATTGTTACATTTACGGCACCCAATAAAAACCTCTCTGGATGACCTTTGAGTGGGTTGATTATTTTAATATACATAGGTTCGTAAACAATAAAAGTGAGAGAAACCCATGAAGATAATCATTTATTTTTAAAAATAAAAAAAATTACAATTAATAGTTGTGGTACCATTTGTACAACTAGTTTATATTTTTCACGTACCTACTTTTTAAACATAAAATAAAAAAAATATACCTATGGATTTTCTCTATTTTTCTACCTATGACCTATGGCCTTGGATACTATAAATGCTACTGCGGAAGTAATACAAATAAGTTTCTCTCTGTGGATTCATAATTTAAACCTTATAAAATACGTAAAATGTGACGGCCAGTTTATAAAATATTTAGTAATTAAATACATTACGATTAGTAAATTTAACTTTATGAGTGTAAAAAATATAAAAAATACGAGACACGCATAAATTAAGTGATTTGTTCCTTGTGCATCATGAATAAAACTATCCAATAAAGTTTTTTACTGCTATGCCAACGAACGAACCGTATGCGTGCATGTGACTTTATTTTTCAAAAACACGATGAAACAAGGGAAAAGAAAGAAAAAAATTAAGAATACTGATTACTTTTATCTAATAATTTACTAATATATAATGAACACTTGTTAAAACTCAAGTTATTTTAAATTTAAAATGTACGTTATTAGTACCAATCTTTTTTTCATTGTCAAAACAAGAATGACAATACGAAGCAAAAACCATCGGTGTTTCCACATTTAAAAATTATTTCTAATAGTTAATGTTGCCATAGATTAAAATAAATTTCTACCGTTTTTATTTAATGCAAAAAAAACCTCAAGAAGTCACTCAACATTTACGGTGCGTTGGTGGCATGACGTAGTAATCTCGATCAACGCAAATGGTGCGTTGGTGGCAATGAATGGGTTAAATTTGAAAGGAAACAAATTATTCTGCAATGCCTTGAACTCGCTAGGCGAGTTCCCTGACATAGATCCTCAACCTTTGACATGTTAGACACCGACGTGAACATAGTAGCATGGACTACCTACATACTTGTGATATGGAACTAATATACAACAAACTAGTTTCATTAGAGTAATCAGGATCGTACCAAATGGAAGTCCGTAGTCTCTGCCTACCTCTGGGTGACAGGCGTGAGTGTTTATGTGTTACTTATCGAAAGTCGCTCTTGTTTGATTACGTATTGGTATAACACCAGTTTGGAATAAAGCCTCTGTCCTAGGAAGAACTATCAAGACATTATTTTTTTAAAACAAGCTTTAGAAATTCAGTTATCGTAATATTTGAGATAACATATATAAAGCCATATTATAAATCTTGTATCTTTGTAATAGGGTTGAAAATAAATAAAAAAAGGGGTCGGCATTGATAAAACAGCCAAAAAAAACACCGGCGCGCCGTTGTACTTGAAGAACAAAAGCACTGATAACATTGTTTTTTACAAAGCTCTCATTGGCTAATGTTAAATCGCACTCCAAGAATGCACTTGCAACTAAATATTTCGTCCATTGTATTCCTATTTGTGACGTCGTTGCCTACGCTAGTAAACTTTGTTTTCAGTATCAGTGCTTTGTACGACCCTTTCGTCATCGCATGCGTTTATCTGTTCTCTACCTTTGTGACCTGGCTTACTTTTACTGAACTTCCGTGTTTTGATTACCTTGGCTTGCGATTACTGGACTTGTTTGAGTGCTGTTTCGACTATACCTTTACTTACGATTACCGGACCTATTTTATCTATAAAGTCTAGTTGCTCTCTCTACTAGCTCTGCTACTAGAGTGGTGAATGAAATAATGTAATGTGAATTGTTATAATTTTGTTTTCTGATAAACCTCTTGACTGCTCTCCACTGCAACTCAATTTGTTGTATATAAGTCCCATCTCCAGCCACAAATAGATTGTTTGGGTCTGAGTGATTAACTTTTTATGAGTGTATCTGTGTTAAAAAAACAAACTGACATAATATTTGCATTTCGTTATATGTAATTTAATTAATCAAAATCAAGTACCGGATGTCTAGCCAACTCGATATAACCTCAAAACTTTAACTATCGATATCTCGAAAAATAAAGATTTCCGGCATAAAAAGCAGCTAAATGGTAATCAATAGCATCATTGCCTGTCAACTAAAGCTAAAATAGTCCATTAATATACCATAGAATAATAACACCTAGAAGCCGAGTCCGCGTCCGTAATGTGAGGCAACTTAAACTAAGCCAGTATGGCTCAGTTCAATACTCGGCCCATTAGTGCTCAGTGTCGTATCGTGTTGACAACATCTCTCAAAATTTTAATTAAAATGACGGTTTGTGCAGCGATGTCACAATACATCAGAGAAACACAAGAAACATAGTGACATTACATTTCACGTGTAAGTAGTGCTTTTGAACTTATATTTTTACGTAAATTATTCATCAAAAATAATTTTAAAAACTGACACATGATATTATATGGAAATGTTGCCAAAGTGTGAAAAAAATTCTCCCACATTTTGTCGTTTAATTAAAAGTAAAATACGTCAGTAAATTTGAATAAAATACAACGCATTGTTTTTATTTAAAAAGTATCGATGATAAATTTTAAGGAAATTTATTATATGGTCTGATAATAAATGGATGTTTCATTTTCGTTTTAGGTTTCCTTCTGATCCGATCATTGCAGATCGTTGGACAGAAAAAATCAGACGCAATCGAAATGATAGCAGTTGGAAGCCCACTAAAAATACAAAAATTTGTTCTTTACATTTTGAGGATGAAGTAAAGTATATTACTAAAGGTGGCCTATGTAGATTTCGCAAGGGTGCAGTTCCAACTAAGGTATAAAAATTCCGCTCTATACCTATAAACTGTTTTAATATGGATTGCTTTTTAATTTTTTTTTCTTACGTTTAATTTTTGTGTTCTAGGATCTTCCCGTTTTTAGCACGGAAGAGAAGAGTGATGATTTAAGTCAAGAGCAAAATCAACCTCAGCCGGTAAGTTTTTAATAAATCAACACAAAGCCCAGTCACATAATTTATTTTTGGTTTTAAGCATTCACAATGCCATTATTTTCAAAAGAAAATATTGCAGTAGAAAAATCGACTGGTATCGAGCAGAACTCGAATCCACGACAAGAGAAAAAGAAGAGCAGTCGCCCGGTTAGTGAAAGATCGTGGGTTCAAGTCCCACTCGATACCAGTCGATTTTTTCTAGTGCAGTATTTTATAGTCATCATCATAGTCACATAATGTAAATAAAATGAATGGTAGGGAATGCCAATAAGTGTTAAGTCCACCTTTTGTGTAGTAAAATAATAATAATATAGGAACTAAACTAACAGTAAATTATTATGTCGATTGACGAGTAGCTATTGGCTTATTTTTATTTATATTTTCTTAATTGCACGAATAAGATGCATAAACAGTGGACTTTATGCCTTATGGCATTCTCTACCAGTAAATCAGTATGTGGGGCAGATACGTACTTACTACTTTATTTATTTGTATAAATGTTTTTCAGGGAGCCTCAGGTTGTGAGACGGACAAAAATGTTAATCTAAGCGCTTCAATGACACCTTTATCTTCAGAACTAGATTCTATTTTCGATTCACCTAAAAAGGCTTCACTACGGAGACAACTAAGGAAAAAGATCTTGTTGCAACAAAAACACAGTAGAAAGATTAAGACTCTGAAGCAAAAAAATCGACGCTTAAAGAAAATAAATGCCACTCTTAAAAATATTTTAGTAGACTTACGGAAGAAAAGATATATTAATAATGACATATCCAATATTTTGTCGGAAAATGTATTTGCAGCAGATTTATACAGTAGCTTAGCTAAAAAAATATGTAAAGATAAAAAACGACCGATGCCTAAATACACTCCAGAATTTAGGAAATTCTGTCTAACCTTGCATTTTTACTCGCCACGAGCTTACATCTATGTTCGTAAAACATTTAATACTTGCCTCCCACATCCGAAAACTATTTACAACTGGTATAAAACCATAAATGATTCCCCTGGTTTTATAGATGAAGCATTTCATATTTTGAAATCGAAAATATTACAATGTACACAGAAGAAATTAATATGTGCTTTAGTGGCAGATGAAATGGCAATACGACCACAAAATATAAAAGGAGGCCACGGGCGTGTAGACATTGGCACAGGTACATCTGATTGTACAACAAAGGCTACGGAAGCTTATACTTTTATTCTTGTGTGCTTGAATGAACACTGGAAGATCCCATTGGGATATTTTTTGGTGCATGGTCTTACCGGGGGGCAAAAAGCTAACCTGATAAAAATATGTCTGACTAAATGTGAAGAGATGGGCGTAAAAGCGGTTGCTCTAACATTTGACGCACATTTAACCAAGATATCAGCCATGCAATTATTATGATGCCGACTAAAGGACGCAGAGAATATGAAAACTATATTCAAACACCCAGCAACGGAACGAGGTAGCGGTGTTTTTAGATTCCAGTCATATGATCAAACTGGTTCGGAATCATTTCAAAGACAAAAAAGTATTCTTAGACCAAGATGAAAATAAAGTGGACTGGGAATTTTTAACAAAATTAAATGACTTTCAAGAAAAAGAAGGTTTACACATTGCTAATAAACTAACGAGTAAACATCTCGAGTTTAGGAACTCTATTATGAAAATAAAGTTAGCAGTTCAACTACTTAGTAGAAGTGTAGCAGCGGTACTGAAATTTTGCCGCGAAGTCTTGAAATTGGACGATTTCAAGAATAGTAAGGGCACAGAAAATTTTATCATGATTTTCAACGACCTGTTCGACATTTTTAATACGAGAAGGTTAACACAACATGGTTTTTGCCATCCCCTTTCAAATTCTAATAAAAAGGAAATATTTGATTTTTTAGAGAAAACCAAAAAATATATACTTCACTTAAAGATTAAAACTACTAGAAAGCGCAAATACAATGAAAAAGAGAGTTCAATAAATCTCAAAATCAAAAGCTTCCAATCGGCCCTTACTGTAAAGTGCTCTCCTGGCTTTAAAGGATTGTTAGTTTCCATAGAGAGCCTTAAGTACTTATATAATATCTTAGTTGAAGATACAAAAGAACTAGAGTATATTACAACCTACAGGTTGAGCCAGGACCATATCGAGCTACTTTTTGGATTGATAAGAATGCAAAGCGGACATAATGACAATCCAAACGCTCTACAATTTAAGGGTAGCTACAGAAAACTGCTCTGCCGCATGGAACTGCAAGTAAGTGAAACTGGTAACTGCGTGCCACTCAAAAACATACCTATTTTAACATGTTCATCTGCTTTAACTTGCATCAATAATACTTCATTTTCCGAAAGATTTGATGATGAAGAAAAAGAATTCACTGAACACTTATTGAAAACACCGATTCCAAATGATGTCGGATTCGAAATTTCATCGGGTAGCGATGATCCTAACTGCAGAAACCATTTTGTTGGCTATATAGCTGGAAATGTAGCTAGACATCTCACAAGCCGAGTAAAATGTAAATATTGCATTGATAACATGCTTGTAAAAGAGAAACTTTGGTTCCATAAATTAGTATGTATGGGGGATAAAGGTGGATTGGTTTACGCCTCAAAAGAAGTTTATTCTATTTGTAGTGTTACTGAAACTGTTCTGAGACGTTATCTAAAAGAAAATCCAGGCAATATTTCCGAAAAAGAAATCATACTTCTAATTATGAGAAGATTCATAGTAGGAACTCGTATATTTTCTATAGAACACGTTAACTCCCACTTCCATGACACGAATTTGATGAGACTTATTGTCGAGCGCTACTTAAGAATTAGACTGTTCTATGAATCCAAAAAAGAAAATACTTTACGATTCGTATCATCAAAGCGTCAGTTATTCAGGAAACAGTTGCAGTTACAAGGCTACTGAAATCAATGATTTTAATTTTTATTTGTGTTTTTCTAATAAATTTTTCCCAATCACTTTAAGCTGAAATGCATCTACTGTGTGAAACCTGCCAAAATTAAAATGATCTTGTATTTTTCGTAATGTAGCTTACATCATGCATGCAGTGAGGTGCGGTACACCATTACTCAACAATTATTTAAAAAAAATAGTTAAAAACAAACTGAATAATATATACTGAATTCGATCAATCGTTCGTCGAACAGTCATGTGTCGGGTATCGGGCGGGTGTGTATATCGAACTTGCATTAGTCATATAATTATAACGTCTCTATTCAGTAACAAAGAAAAATATGATGCAATCACATTTCGATGGCTCATAAAAATCTCACTTGGCTAGACAGGCAAATACGCTGTTCAAGAATATTTTGAATTTGGCGGGCTACACTTCGATAACAGAATTCAAAAAACTTATTTTCACATTTGTATCAGTCATACGTTACGTCGTAACTATTAGTCCAATATAGTTTCAACTTCCCTACTTTTGGGGAAAATTTAATGTATTGGCAAAATTATTTTTTCCCTTGTGTGCGTTTCGTCTAGCGTAAACACAAGTGGCTTACACACACATAGATTTTGTTTTTGCCTCACTTAAGAACGTCCGCTTTGTAGGGAACTATCGTTCTAGGTGTTATTGTTCTATGTAATATACATACTGTTACAAATAGAAACACAGATTGACTTTTTAAAAAGATTTTAATGGCCTTTGGCCTAACAAATATTAACTAACTTAAAAGCTTTAAACAAGATTTAAAATAATGACGCTAGTATTCGAGCAAGGCTTCCGAACTCCGTGATGACCGATGGCAAAAAGGGGCGAGTGACGCCAGCCGCCCTCCTATATAGCTCGGCGCGGCGTCGGCGCTCTTGATTCAGACCTTCTCTTCTAACACGGCCTCTCCTGACGGGGCTGCGTGCTCAAAGCCCTCAGCAGGAACTCGTGGATGGCTCAGCAACACTCACCGCGTCCCGCGGCTGTTCGACGTCACCATCGTCAATCTCTGAGAAGATACCCACAATCTAAGAGACATTTATTTATATCGCGTATTAACAGTTGATCTAAATTCATATAGTTCATAAAAGCGTCAGATTATGTACCCAATTAGCCAAACAAGTCAGTCAGTCAGAACAGTCAACATGAACAGTTATCAACGCTACACAAAAGCGTTTCAAGTCACATAGGTTTTACACAGGTCTCTTCCCACGCAACCGAATACCCCGCACAAACTCGCGTGTGCAAACAGGATTTACATCAGTCTCTAGCAGGTCACCCCAGATACTTAATAATGGCTGGATTTACACAGGTCTGTTGTCGGCTGCGCCACCGACTCACCCCAGAAACCACCAGTGTCAGGGTCAACCCAATACCATGCGCACAGGATTTACACGGGTCTCTTCCACTGAACACAACACGTAACGTAGTCAAAATCAGTAAACACGGGCTTGTTTGGTACATAATCTAGCTCAAGAATAGGGAAAGATTATCTTCTCGACTGTCACATCACCAACACATGACCAAGCGCATTCGCCGCGGCACCTCTAAAGGAACTCGCGCGATCGCGGTACGTGCAATCAGATTTGCGATTTCTGCAAAAGTCCCGTATGAGAGCTATAAACAAAGCATACATCGTTTGAGTCATTATAAAATAAGCTAACAAATTACATACGAATCAGGACAGCTCCCTTCGTAACACATTATCAATTCTATTTTGAAATTGATGTAATCGAGCTCCTCCTACTTCAATACACATAAGTCGTTACAATCACAAAAGCAAACCTTTATTTGACAAACATTTTACTTTACTCACTTAAAACATATTTAACATAAATCCATAAAAATAACATAGCTCTCGACACATTTTTTTTTCACCCCACAAGCTCTACGATAACATGCCTCACTTAAGTGACCCGATAAGGTAAGTTTTGGGTGAGTTTAAGTCGAGAGTCGAGAATACTGCAAATTAAGTGGTTTATGTAATAATTTATGTCCCGTTTGGGTTCACATTCTTATCACAAACATAGTTTTAACTTTTGGATAAGAAATATAGCAAAAAATATAGAAATATAGGGAACTGATCGAGCTCCACAAGGCACTTGACATAATATTATGCGCCTTTGTTTACTCCAATATTCCAGAGGCCTGTTGACAGATGAGGGGTTATTAGGTATGTAAAATAACAAAGCAAATATAACAGCAATCGTACTACTAGTACCTTCAAAAAATGCAGCACATGTTTCGGGTGATAATTGCTCTGTGATGTAGTGTTGTAGCCCACACGACATAGATATATATTAAAGTTTGTAATAAAACAGCATTATAATTAAAGATTTTGTACAAACAACACGTCTCCTTCTTGTTGACACCTTTCAAATATTACAGCTCGGTCTAACCTGACCATCTCTTACCTACCTACGTATTCTATTCCGTTGGTAAGAAAGGTGCATTTCTTTAAATTAATTGAAAAACCTATATTGGTTTTCGTTTTCATAACCTAATCTAATAAAACGACGTGTTTTTCAATCCCATCCGTCATTATTAATTCGTCAACGATAAAGACCATACTTTTCCAGCATCAATGAAGGATTCTAAGCGTTTTAGAGATAGTTTTCTGATAAAAACTCGGCACGTTTGCAACAAACCGTAGGCGTACCTTGCAATAATTATACTGGGCCTCTGCTTTGGTGTAACGGGTGCGGTCTTATGAATCGACTCTTCTGCAACTCTAAGTTAATGGAAACCGGAAATCATATCCAGAGAGCTAAACCAGCGAGCAAAACTAAACTATCTATGTCGTCGCTGATCAAGAGGAGAGGATATCTAGTTTTGACGGTGATTCGATTCAGTGCACGATAACCC